TATAACTAACACAATAACACACCACATATAAATAACACACCACATGTAAATAACACAATAACACACCACATGTAAATAACACAATAACACACCACATATAAATAACACACCACATATAAATAACACACCACATGTAAATAACACACCACATGTAAATAACACAAAAACACACATGTAAATAACACACCACATGTAAATAACACAAAAACACACATGTAAATAACACACCACATGTAAATAACACAAAAACACACCACATGTAAATAACACAATAACACACCACATGTAAATAACACAATAACACACCACATGTAAATAACACAATAACACACCACATATAAATAACACACCACATATAAATAACACACCACATGTAAATAACACACCACATGTAAATAACACAAAAACACACATGTAAATAACACACCACATGTAAATAACACAAAAACACACATGTAAATAACACACCACATGTAAATAACACAAAAACACACCACATGTAAATAACACAAAAACACACCACATGTAAATAACACAATAACACACCACATATAAATAACACAATAACACACCACATATAAATAACACAATAACACACCACATATAAATAACTCAATACTGTTGTCACAGCTGTAATGTTGGTGTATTCACGCCCTTGCCTTATCGCATCCTGTTGTCTTTGTTTCACCTTATATTTTGGCGTTAAACTACTCTGAGTTTATTATACCTACAGTTATACAAAATCACATAAACAGCTTCACAGAGCTCAAATACAGGATCTAATTAATCTAAAACCAGTCAATATATATATTCAAAAGTAAACACTTAAAAGTCTCGTTTGATAAATATACCGACCACCCCTATATTTATAGGGGTTGTTGATTACACGTAAATAAACATGTTCGAACCATAGGACGCCATAAAACAACAGAGGCACCCTACCCGAATGTTGTTGTTCCAAATCTTAGGACTACACACTGACAGATCGATGAGAACGCACTCGGTGTGGAGAGGGGGCTGTGACAGGCGATGTGTCAAGAGTCAATCTAATCCCCACACAGAGATTTGGAATCAAAGGTAGCACTCTATGAAATTCAATCCCTCTATCCCAATAACGATACCATAGAACTTAGTTTAAATTCCTTCTCCGATCTGGGTGTAATCTCTTGAACTCACCGTCACATCCTTGTCATAATCGCCGCTTAGGCTTGTCATCTGTCCTACTTATTATTGGTTAATTGCTCATAAATCGATTTTTGTTGAATTATTTGTCTGGAAATTGAAATGTTTAAAATATTTTCGGACTTCTCTGAAGGATATGTAAGGATGTGGCTTTAGTTTTGGGGAAGGGAGTTAATGCTAGGTTCCGGTATTTGCTAATTCGGTATTATTTTAATATTGAAAAACAATAATTTCATAATGACGGCTCTTTCAAGTAAAACTGTTTAGCCAAAACCATGAGTTTTTCTTTATCTTTTTTGCGCAAAATATACTTTGCCCTTTTCCCCCTTCATGGTTAAATACACAGAATGCAAACGACCAAGGGGCATAACTCATGCCCTGGCTTTCCTTTTGAGATGCACCGAGAGTTACTCCTCTTATCGCGTAGTCAACCCTGATAAAACGGCAGACAATTCTGAAAAAGACGTGAGAGGGAACAAGGTACAATATTTTCATGTCAATAGTCTGAAGGATAGTGTGCTTGCAGTTTGCACTATTATTGACTCGTTTTCATTTTGGGGATAAAACTGGCACTGAGCTGGGATACAAGCGTTGATGGCACATGGTCGGGCAAAAAAACGCTTCACTTTAAGAACTACATATGTACAAGTACATAATGGAAAACACATTGTTCCTGTGATTTAGGTTCAGCATAAACATATTATTATAACAAAGAGATATGTTGGTAGGACGAAAAAAATCACTAGCCCGTTGTTACGTATGAACAAAACTAGCGCCACCCTGCGGTGCCTTCTTAACCTTTTCTCTCCCGGCGCCCCCTGGCGGCGAACCTGTGACAAGGGAAGCTGTGATGGTTAATCCGGCGCTCTGTAATCTCTGTGGGGATAAAGGAGGCGACAGGGGAGATTATCCCTGTCACAGCGCTGCTGCACTCGGCAGCCCAGATTAGGGATTAGAAACGCGAGTTGTTGGACACGGGGCTGTGCTGAGTTGCCCGTGGAGGGGTGCCGAGACCATCGGGGGACCAGTGCGTACACAGGTTTGTTTACTAGATATGACGCACTCGATGGCTTTGGTAACAATGTAGGGGAGTGACTGGATAAAAAAAAATGTCAAACGACTATAGCTTTGCCTTATCAAGTCGTGTGTTCAATTATAGAAATACATCAGCCTTAAGCAAATGTCGTTTTGCAGTCAAATCTCGGCCTTTGTTATTTGAATATTCTACCTCATATCGGAAGAGGGCGCTGGAGAGGTTAATGGACGATGTGCTTATTTGTCGAGCACATGAATCCCAGGTTTGAGTCTCATCAGTTCCGGGGGCACGTGTGGCCCAGTCGTCTAAGGCGCCGCGATTCGCTGTGCAGAGTTGCGTTCCTTGGCCACGGGCACGCCTGAAACCTATGATTGTGGGTTTGAATCCCGGTTCGCCCCGATTATGTTTCTAGGTTTGGCAGCATGATACCCATGCTCGTGGGTTTCACCGAAGTGGTAAACGTCTGAGACCTGTGACACTTCGGGCTTTCCTCACACATTAAGCTGACACGCCGTGATATCACTGGAATACTGTTAAAAGCGGCGTTAAACCCAACTCACTCACTCTTCAGTTCCATGACGTGATTTTGGTTTCACGTTTCTTTTTCTTTTTCATCATTTGTTGTTTAACGCCGCACTCAGCAATATTCCAACTATATGACGGCGGTCTGTAAATAACGAGTCTTGACCAGACAATCCAGTGATTGATAGCATGAGCATCGATCAACACCATAAGGATATGATGACATGCATCAACCAAGTCAGCGAGCCTCACCACCCGATCCCGTTAGTCGCCTCTTACGACAGGCATAATCGCTTTTTATGACAAGCATGGGTTGATGAAGATCTATTCTACCCCGGATCTTTACGGGTCTTCACGTTCCTAAGAAAATTGTGACAACCAGTTCGATAATAATAATAATAATAATAATCATAAGAAATTATATAATAATATCGTGCAATTTCCAAACTTGTCTTAAAAAACGCTTTGAGTCATAGGGTGTACAAACAGAAAGGTTTCAGCTGTGTCTTGAAAGAGTCCAGGTTGTCACAGTTTGTGATGACAAATGGAAGGAAGTTCCACAGAAGAGGTCCGGCTTCTGTAACGGTCTGTCGCGGTAGGTCTTGGATGTTCTTGGAAGTGTAAGCTGTGCTTCATCTCCTGACCAAAGACTTCTCTTTGGCTTGTAGATGGCGATTAGTATTTGCAGATCCACTGGTGCCGTACAATGCAGTGTCTTGAAGACCATTGCTTGAACCACAGAGAGCCAATGGAGGCTCTCCAGGACTGGTGTCATGTGTTCATATTTAGCTGTGTGTGTTATATGCCTGGCAACTGCATTCTGGACGCGATTCAACTTGTCTAACTGGTTCTGTTGGATACCAAGAAGCACACTATTACAGTAGTCTAGCTGAGGTATTACTATAGCGTTTAATAGACTTTTAATCAAGGACCTGTCAATGTAACGACTGAGGTAGCTGATGTTTCTGGTTTGGTAATGGAGATCGCATGCCTCTCCAGAGGTTACCACGATTACACCAAGATTCCTGGCATGGCAACTTAGTTTGACTTCTGAACTGCCTACCTCCAGATTTGGGTGAGTTACCCTTGACTGAACCTGCCTGGAACTGAGAATCAACACTTCACTTTATTCTCATTCAGATTACGAAAATTGTTACGCACCCATAGTCTGATGTCATTTATACACTTGGTTTGGTTTTGGTTTGGGTTGTTGTTTAACGCCGCACTCAGCAATATTCCAGCAATATGACGGCGGTCTGTAAATAATCGAGTCTGGACCAGAAAATCCAGTGATTAATATCGTGAGCATCGATCCACGAAATTGGGATCGATGACATGCATCAACCAAGTTAGCGAGCCTGACCACCCGATCCCGTTAGTCGCCTTTTACGACAAGCATAGTCACCTTTTACGGCAAGCATGGGTTGCTGAAGACCTATTCTACCCCGGAATCTTCACGGGTCTTATACACTTGGTGATGGCTTGGTGTGTATTCTCAACCGAGGCTCAAAACAGAGATCTGAATCCGAGACACAGATGAGTATCATCAGCGTAAAGAAGAAACGATAGGTTGTATTTCCTCGCAATGTATCCGACTGGCATTGTGCGAACACTGAATAGGATTGGTCCGAGCAGTGACCCCCGTGGAACACCACACCAAGTTCTGTCTTATTTGATTTACCATATACAATACAATTATACTGATTGAAATCGATTGGTAAGATCAGAGCAAAACCACCGAAGGGCTTCTCTGGTCACACAAATACAGGATACAAGACATGATATCATTCTCTCATGGTCAGTCGTATCGAATGCTGCGGACAGATATAATAAAACTGATGAACCTGCCACGCCATCTGTGTCCTCTGTTTCCATGAGATCGTATTGTACCCTGATTGGGTCGGTTTCTGTGTTATTGCCTGCTTTTCAGGCCATGTGCATTATATCTCCCAGATTGTTGGACAATGAATAGGATTGGTCCGAAGTGGTAAACGTCCGAGACCTGCATCACTTTGGGCTTTCCTCCCACATTAAGCTGACACGCCGTGATATAACTGAATACTGTTAAAAGCGGCGTTAACTCACTCACTCACTATATGTTTCAATGGTACGCGTTTCTTTTAGCGTTGAGTATATATTCATCTTCATGGCATAGAAAGTCTTGAAATGTGATATTACTGTATTTCATAGTAGTGAGTAGAATTCAGCAGAAAGGTTCAGTGGTTGAAGACGTCGCAGAAAAAAAACATGTTTTCTTGTGTTGATTTTATTGATAGTTTATTATCATCTTTCCAATCACAACTTCACATGGAAAACACGTGCCTGTGTCTACATGAAGTTATTGTAGTACTTGCCGAGAGTTGACAGCTGGGCGGAGGTGAGCTCCAGCAAGCTGTCCTGGGACTTGGCTGCCCCCGTACCAGCCACCCTGCTGGCGTACCACGAGTACCGCGCCACGTAGTCAGCCCGCTCCAGACGCGGAAGGATTTCCTTCATGTAGCTGAGCACATGGTCGACATTATTGCTTGGACAGGCAAATTCAGTCAGCCATATTGGTTTCTTAAAATTGTCCCAGAGTTCCTTCAGGAAGTTCAAGGTGGTGTCAGCTGTGCACCAGTACGCATGCGTGGCAATATAATCTACCCGGCATCCTTTGCAGTGTTGGAAGAACTCCCGATACCACTGTACGCCGTCCATGAGACAGTGTGAGGAGCTGCATCGGATGGCGGCCGGGCCTACCAGGAGCTGGTTCTGCTTGTCAGCTCTTGCTTCGATCACCTTCCATGCTGTCGCTGCCTCTGCCGGTGTCAGATTGGCCTGGTGCATGTGGTTGGGCTCGTTGAAGCCGAGGACGTATTTGCTCGTGTCGTTACTGAAAAAACCCTCAGCTCATAATATTAGTAAGTACAGTAAACTACGTTTATAACGAACACACTTATAGTGAGTGAGTTTGATTTTACGCCGCTTTTAGCAACATTCTAGCAATATCACGGCGGGGGACACCAGAAATGGGCTTCACACATTGTACCCATGACAGGAATCGAACCCGGGTCTTCGGCGTGACGAGCGAACGCTTTAACCATTAGGCTACCCGACCGCGCCGAACACGCTTAAAACGAACTGACCGATATAACAACGTTATATTTTAGTCCCAGACATTTGTTGTATTGCTGTATATATGCTTATAACGAACTACGGTTATTACGAACTAAAATTAGTGGTCCCTTTGAGTTCGTTATAACCGTAGTTTACTCTAAGTCAATGTTGAAGTGCAAGCTATATCAGGCGACCTGTAATTAACGATTCTGGATCAGACAAACCAGTGATTGATGGCATGAGCAGCAATTCGTGGTATCAAGGTACGGTGACATCACTGACATGCAGTATCAAGGTACGATGACATGCAGTATCAAGGTCCGGTGACATGCAGTATCAAGGTACGGTGACATGCAGTATCAAGATACGGTGACATGCAGTATCAAGGTACGGTGACATGTAGTATCAAGGTACGATGACATGCAATATCAAGGTACGGTGACATCACTGACATGCAGTATCAAGGTTCGATGACATGCAGTATCAAGGTACGGTGACATGCAGTATCAAGGTCCGGTGACATGTAGTATCAAGGTACGGTGACATGTAGTATCAAGGTACGATGACATGCAGTATCAAGGTACGGTGACATGCAGTATCAATGTACGGTGACATGCAGTATCAAGGTACGATGACATGCAGTATCAAGGTACGGTGACATGCAGTATCAAGGTACGATGACATGCAGTATCAAGGTACGGTGACATGCAGTATCAAGGTACGATGACATGCAGTATCAATGTACGGTGACATGCAGTATCAAGGTACGATGACATGCAGTATCAAGGTACGGTGACATGCAGTATCAAGGTACGATGACATGCAGTATCAAGGTACGGTGACATGCAGTATCAAGGTACGATGACATGCAGTATCAAGGTACGATGACATGCAGTATCACGGTACGATGACATGCAGTATCAATGCACGGTGACATGCAGTATCAAGGTACGGTGACATGCAGTATCCAGGTACGGTAACATGCAGTATCAAGGTACGATGACATGCAGTATCAAGGTACGGTGACATGCAGTATCAAGGTACGATGACATGCAGTATCAAGGTACGATGAAATGCAGTATCAAGGTACGATGACATGTAGTATCAAGGTACGATGACATGCAGTATCAATGTACGGTGACATGCAGTATCAAGGTACGATGACATGCAGTATCAAGGTACGGTGACATGCAGTATCAAGGTACGATGACATGCAGTATCAAGGTATGATGACATGCAGTATCAAGGTACGATGACATGCAGTATCAAGGTACGGTGACATGCAGTATCAAGGTACGTTGACATCACTGACATGCAGTATCAAGGTACGATGACATGCAGTATCAAGGTACGATGACATGCAGTATCAAGGTACGATGACATGCAGTATCAAGGTACGGTGACATGCAGTATCAAGGTATGATGACATGCAGTATCAAGGTACGATGACATGCAGTATCAAGGTACGGTGACATGCAGTATCAATGTACGGTGACATGCAGTATCAAGGTACGATGACATGCAGTATCAAGGTACGGTGACATGCAGTATCAAGGTACGATGACATGCAGTATCAAGGTACGGTGACATGCAGTATCAAGGTACGATGACATGCAGTATCAATGTACGGTGACATGCAGTATCAAGGTACGATGACATGCAGTATCAAGGTACGGTGACATGCAGTATCAAGGTACGATGACATGCAGTATCAAGGTACGGTGACATGCAGTATCAAGGTACGATGACATGCAGTATCAAGGTACGATGACATGCAGTATCACGGTACGATGACATGCAGTATCAATGCACGGTGACATGCAGTATCAAGGTACGGTGACATGCAGTATCCAGGTACGGTGACATGCAGTATCAAGGTACGATGACATGCAGTATCAAGGTACGGTGACATGCAGTATCAAGGTACGATGACATGCAGTATCAAGGTACGATGAAATGCAGTATCAAGGTACGATGACATGTAGTATCAAGGTACGATGACATGCAGTATCAATGTACGGTGACATGCAGTATCAAGGTACGATGACATGCAGTATCAAGGTACGGTGACATGCAGTATCAAGGTACGATGACATGCAGTATCAAGGTATGATGACATGCAGTATCAAGGTACGATGACATGCAGTATCAAGGTACGGTGACATGCAGTATCAAGGTACGTTGACATCACTGACATGCAGTATCAAGGTACGATGACATGCAGTATCAAGGTACGATGACATGCAGTATCAAGGTACGGTGACATGCAGTATCAAGGTACGATGACATGCAGTATCAAGGTACGATGACATGCAGTATCAAGGTACGATGACATGCAGTATCAAGGTACGGTGACATGCAGTATCAAGGTATGATGACATGCAGTATCAAGGTACGATGACATGCAGTATCAAGGTACGGTGACATGCAGTATCAAGGTACGGTGACATCACTGACATGCAGTACCAAGGTACGGTGACATGCAGTATCAAGGTACGGTGACATGCAGTATCAAGGTACGATGACATGCAGTATCAAGGTACGATGACATTCAGTATCAAGGTACGGTGGCATCACTGACATGCAGTATCAAGGTACGATGACATGCAGTATCAAGGTACGATGACATGCAGTATCAAGGTACGGTTACATGCAATATCAAGGTACGATGACATGAAGTATCAAGGTACGGTGACATGCAGTATGAAGGTATGATGAAATTCAGTATCAAGGTACGGTGACATGCAGTATAAAGGTACGATGACATGCAGTATCAATGTACGGTGACATGCAGTATCAAGGTACGATGACATGCAGTATCAAGGTACGGTGACATGCAGTATCACGGTACGATGACATGCAGTATCAAGGTACGGTGACATGCAATATCAAGGTACGATGACATGCAGTATCAAGGTACGGTGACATGCAATATCAAGGTACGGTGACATCACTGACATGCAGTATCAAGGTACGATGACATGCAGTATCAAGGTACGATGACATGCAGTATCAAGGTACGGTTACATGCAATATCAAGGTACGGTGACATGCAGTATCAAGGTACGGTGACATGCAGTATCAAGGTATGGTGAAATTCAGTATCAAGGTACGGGGACATGCAGTATCAAGGTACGATGACATGCAGTACCAAGGTACGGTGACATCACTGACTTGCAGTATCAAGGTACGATGACATGCAGTATCAAGGTAAGATGACATGCAGTATCAAGGTACGATGACATGCAGTATCAAGGTACGGTGACATGCAGTATCAAGGTACGGTGACATGCAGTATCAAGGTACGGTGACATGAAGTATCAAGGTACGGTGACATCACTGACATGCAGTATCAAGGTCCGGTGACATGCAGTATCAAGGTACGGTGACATGCAGTATCAATGTACGATGACATGCAGTATCAAGGTATGGTGACATCACTGACATGCAGTATCAAGGTAAGATGACATGCATTATCAAGGTACGGTGACATGCAGTATCAAGGTACGATGACATGCAGTATCACGGTACGGTGACATGCAGTATCAAGGTACGACGACATGCAGTATCAAGGTACGATGACATGCAGTTTCAAGCTCCGGTGACATGCAGTATCATGGTACGATGACATGCAGTATCAAGGTACGGTGACATTCAGTATCAAGGTACGGTGACATGCAGTATCAAGGTCCGGTGAAATGCAGTTTCAAGGTACGGTGACATGCAGTATTAAGGTACGATGACATGCAGTATCAAGGTACGGTGACATCACTGACATGCCGTATGAAGGTACGATGACATGCAGTATCAAGGTACGGTGACATGCAGTATCAAGGTACGGTGACATCACTGACATGCAGTATCAAGGTACGATGACATGCACTATCAAAGGTACGATGACATGCAGTATCAATGTACGATGACATGCAGTATCAATGTACGATGACAAGCAGTATCAAGTTCCGGTGACATGCAGTATCAAGGTACGGTTATATGCAGTATCAATGTACGATGACATGCAGTATCAAGGTGCGGTGACATCACTGACATGCAGCATCAAGGTACGATGACATGAAGTATCAAGGTACGATGACATGCATTATCAAGGCACGATGACATGCAGTATCAAGGTACGATGCAATGCAGTATCAAGGTACGGTAACATGCAGTATCAAGGTACGATGACATGCAGTATCAAGGTACGGTGACATGCAGTATCAAGGTACGATGACATGCAGTATCAAGGTACGGTGACATCACTGACGTGCAGTATCAAGGTACGATGACATGCAGTATCAAGGTACGATGACATGCACTATCAAAGGTACGATGACATGCAGTATCAATGTACGATGACATGCAGTATCAATGTACGATGACAAGCAGTACCAAGGTACGGCGACATGCAGTATCAAGGTACGATGACATGCAGTATCAAGGTACGGTGACATGCAGTATCAAGGTACGATGACATGCAGTATCAAGGTACGATGACATGCAGTATCAAGGCACGGTGACATGCAGTATCAAGGTACGGTGACATGTAGTATCAAGGTACGGTGACATCACTGACATGCAGTATCAAGGTACGATGACATGCAGTATCAAGGTACGGTGACATCACTGACATGTAGTATCAAGGCACGGTGACATGCAGTATCAAGGCACGGTGACATGCAGTATCAAGGTACGGTGACATCACTGACATGCAGTATCAAGGTACGATGACATGCAGTATCAAGGCACGGTGACATGCAGTATCAAGGCACGGTGACATGCAGTATCAAGGTACGGTGACATGTAGTATCAAGGTTCGATGACATGCAGTATCAAGGTACGATGACATGCAGTATCAAGGTACGGTGAGATCACTGACATGCAGTATCAAGGTACGATGACATGCAGTATGAAAGTACGATGACATGCAGTACCAAGGTACGGTGACATGCAGTGTCAAGGTACGGTGACATGCAGTATCAAGGTACGATGACATGCAGTATCAAGGTACAGTGACATGCAGTATCACGGTACGGTGACATGCAGTATCAAGGTACGGTGACATGCAGTATCAAGGTACGATGACATGCAGCATCAAGGTCCGGTGACATGCATTATCAAGGTACGATGACATGCAGTATCAAGGTACGGTGACATTCAGTATCAAGGTACGGTGACATGCAGTATGAAGGTCCGGTGAAATGCAGTATCAAGGTACGGTGACATGCAGTATTAAGGTACGATGACATGCAGTATCAAGGTACGGTGACATCACTGACGTGCAGTATCAAGGTACGATGACATGCAGTATCAAGGTACGGTGACATGCAGTATCAAGGTACGGTGACATCACTGACATGCAGTATCAAGGTACGATGACATGCACTATCAAAGGTACGATGACATGCAGTATCAATGTACGATGACATGCAGTATCAAAGTACGATGACAAGCAGTATCAAGGTCCGGTGACATGCAGTATCAAGGTACGGTGACATGCAGTATCAATGTACGATGACATGCAGTATCAAGGTATGGTGACATCACTGACATGCAGTATCAAGGTAAGATGACATGCATTATCAAGGTACGGTGACATGCAGTATCAAGGTACGACGACATGCAGTATCACGGTACGGTGACATGCAGTATCAAGGTACGACGACATGCAGTATCAAGGTACGATGACATGCAGTTTCAAGGTCCGGTGACATGCAGTATCATGGTACGATGACATGCAGTATCAAGGTACGGTGACATTCAGTATCAAGGTACGGTGACATGCGGTATCAAGGTCCGGTGAAATGCAGTATCAAGGTACGGTGACATGCAGTATTAAGGTACGATGACATGCAGTATCAAGGTACGGTGACATCACTGACATGCCGTATGAAGGTACGATGACATGCAGTATCAAGGTACGGTGACATGCAGTATCAAGGTACGGTGACATCACTGACATGCAGTATCAAGGTACGATGACATGCACTATCAAAGGTACGATGACATGCAGTATCAATGTACGATGACATGCAGTATCAATGTACGATGACAAGCAGTATCAAGGTCCGGTGACATGCAGTATCAAGGTACGGTGACATGCAGTATCAATGTACGATGACATGCAGTATCAAGGTGCGGTGACATCACTGACATGCAGCATCAAGGTACGATGACATGAAGTATCAAGGTACGATGACATGCATTATCAAGGCACGATGACATGCAGTATCAAGGTACGATGCAATGCAGTATCAAGGTACGGTAACATGCAGTATCAAGGTACGATGACATGCAGTATCAAGGTACGGTGACATGCAGTATCAAGGTACGATGACATGCAGCATCAAGGAACGGTGACATCACTGACGTGCAGTATCAAGGTACGATGACATGCAGTATCAAGGTACGGTGACATGCAGTATCAAGGTACGGTGACATTCAGTATCAAGGTACGATGACATGCAGTACCAAGGTACGGCGACATGCAGTATCAAGGTACGATGACATGCAGTATCAAGGTACGATGACATGCAGTATCAAGGTACGATGACATGCAGTATCAAGGTACGATGACATGCAGTATCAAGGCACGGTGACATGCAGTATCAAGGTACGGTGACATGTAGTATCAAGGTACGGTGACATCACTGACATGCAGTATCAAGGTACGATGACATGCAGTATCAAGGTACGGTGACATCACTGACATGTAGTATCAAGGCACGGTGACATGCAGTATCAAGGCACGGTGACATGCAGTATCAAGGTACGGTGACATCACTGACATGCAGTATCAAGGTACGATGACATGCAGTATCAAGGCACGGTGACATGCAGTATCAAGGCACGGTGACATGCAGTATCAAGGTACGGTGACATGTAGTATCAAGGTTCGATGACATGCAGTATCAAGGTACGATGACATGCAGTATCAAGGTACGGTGAGATCACTGACATGCAGTATCAAGGTACGATGACATGCAGTATGAAAGTACGATGACATGCAGTACCAAGGTACGGTGACATGCAGTGTCAAGGTACGGTGACATGCAGTATCAAGGTACGATGACATGCAGTATCAAGGTACGGTGACATGCAGTATCACGGTACGGTGACATGCAGTATCAAGGTACGGTGACATGCAGTATCAAGGTACGATGACATGCAGCATCAAGGTACGGTGACATGCATTATCAAGGTACGATGACATGCAGTACCAAGGTACGGTGACATGCAGTATCAAGGTACGATGACATGCAGTATCAAGGTACGGTGACATGCAGTATCAAGGTACGGTGACATGCAGTATCAAGGTACGGTGACATGCAGTATCAAGGTACGGTGACATGCAGTATCAAGGTACGGTGACATGCAGTATCAAGGTACGGTGACATGCAGTATCAAGGTACGGTGACATGCAGCATCAAGGTACGGTGACATGCAGTATCAAGGTACGATGACATGCAGTATCAAGGTACGGTGACATGCAGTATCAAGGTACGGTGACATGCAGTATCAAGGTACGGTGACATGCATTATCAAGGTACGATGACATGCAGTATCAAGGTACGATGACATGCAGTATCAAGGTACGGTGACATTCAGTATCAAGGTACGATGACATGCAGTACCAAGGTACGGTGACATGCAGTATCAAGGTACGATGACATGCAGTATCAAGGTACGATGACATGCAGTAAAGGCATGGGTACTTGGGACCTTGTCTTGCCAGGACCCCTCGCAAGGTTTATTATTCTATATGGAAGTACCAATTAACTATAAAAGGTTGGTGGCGGTCGGGTAGCCTACTAGTTAAAGGGATAGATCGTCGAGCCGAAGACCTGGGTTCGAATCCCGACATGGGAACAATGTTTGAAGCCCATTTCTGGTGTCCCCCGCCGTGATATTGCTGGAATATTGCTAAAAGCGGCGTAAAAACCATACTCACTCACGATAAAAGGTTGTCGGTTCACATAACAAAAGCCTGCAATGTTCGTGGTAACAAAAAAGCTATGAAGTGCACATGCCGTGACAAAGCGACCCAAACAATGAATTGAAAGAATAAATGTGTGTTGAGCACATAACAGTGTAAACATGTGACGTGTCCTCCGAAGAAGAAAGTTGACCCAGCTGGGTTGGTTTCAGCAATAATCAAGCTATAAGACGGCCTGTAAATAATCGAGTCCGGATCAGACAATCCAGTGATAGATATATTTGTTTGTAATGCCTATGAGACAATTAAAATTGCGTGTCTGTTGTTTAACGCCGCACTCAGCAATATTCCAGCTATATGATGGCGATCTGTAAATAATCGAGTCTGGATCTGACAATCCAGTGATCGATATTGTTTGTTTGTATTGCCTATGGGTGAGTGAGTGAGTTTGGTTTTACGCCGCTTTTAGCAATATTCCAGCAATATCACGGCGGGGGACACCAGAAATGGGCTTCACACATTGTACCCATGTCGGGATTCGAACCTGGGTCTTCGGCGTGACCGCAAGCATGGGTTGCTGTAGACCTATTCTACCCCGGAATCTTCACGGGTGTAAGTAAGGACAAAATGTTGTACGCTGGGTGATAAGAAGGAGTGAAATAAACTTACTGGAAGTAAAGCGGATGGTCAATGTTCTTCCTCCAACCCCACACCATGGGTACTCTCCCCGGTCTGGTGATGCTGTGCGTGCAGTGCCCGATCTTGGCGTGGTACCAGGGGGTCTGGTTCCAGTCATACCTACAACGACATTGGGGTTCATTTGCAGACAACCCTGCACACTCAAAGATATGTGACATAATCAGTTTTATAGACATGTTTGATTTGTTTGTTTGTTTGTTGTTTAACGCCACACTCAGCAATATTCCAGCTATATGACAGCGGTCTGTAAAATAATCGAGTCTGGACAAGACAATCCAGTGATTGACATCATGAGCATCGATCCACGCTATTGGGATACGATGACATGCATTAACCAAGTCAGCGAGCCTGACCACCCGATCCCGTTAGTCGCCTCTTACGACAAGCATAGTCGCCTTTTACGGCAAGCATGGGTTGCTGAAGACCTATTCTACCCCGGATCTCCGCGTGTCGACATGTTTGAGTTACAATTAGACAGGTTATACTTTTGAACAGCACTTCCTTAGTTGTAACAAACGGTTATATGGCAGTGTTATTTCAGAATTGACCTTCACTTTGTGTGAGTTCATTGGAGTATGGGGGGGCCGGGTGGCCCGGTCGTCTGAGGCGCCGCGATTCGCTGTGCAGAGTTGCGTCCCTTGGGAACGCCAGAAACCTATGATTGTGGGTGCGAATCCCGGTTCGCCCCGATTATGTTTCTAGGTTTGTCAGCACCATACCCGTGCTCGCGGGTTTCACCAAAGTGGTAAACGTCTGAGACCTGCATCACTTCGGGCTTTCCTCCCACATTAAGCTGACACGCCGCGATATAACTGGAATACTGTTAAAAGCGGCGTTAAACCAAACTCACTCACTCACTCACTGATTGGAGTATGAACCTACATAGAGTGAGGGACAAACTGTATGAACGTCGGAGCTTACCATTGTAATTGCACTGCAATTGAATTTTGTACTGCTGCTCTATTGTGCACTGCTGTTGTAATTACTTTGCATTAATGTTGTATTCATTTGTAAACCTAGTTGATTTTATAATACAATTGTTAATTTACAACATTTCTTTGTTGTTTGTTCGTTCCATATTGACTTCTGTTACAGTAAACTACGGTTATAACGAAGTCAAAGGGACTACTATTTTTAGTTCGTTATAACCGTAGTTCGTTATAAGCATATATACAGCATAACTACGGCAAAAAGTCGGGACTAAAAAGTTAGTTCGTTATATCCGTTAGTTCGTTATAAGCGTGTTCGTTATAACCGTAGTTTACTGTACGTATAATTTTCTGTCTGATCTTATTGTTCCAGTTTGGAAATCGAGGGTGTAATCTTCAGAAGCTGTTTCAAGAAGTCGATCAACATCCACAGACACGAAGAGATACAGTGAAGCAGTGGAGATTGTATGTAAGCTTCACATAACCAAACCAGGAGACGTAAGGTGAGGTGAAATGGGGTTTAACGTCGCGTCCAAGATTATTGCACTTATATAGCGACGTGCAAGTACATGTGTGTGTTTGTGTGGCTGCTTGTACTAGTCCGGACTGATGCCGATTTATAGTGCTAGCACACTGAGATACCATGCGGCAGTTTAACATGAATACCCCACTAAGACACAGTATACTGACTCCGAGCCGACCAGTCCTTGTTTTAGCCCCTTCATGCCGAGCGCCAGACAGGGTAACAACAAGTACCATCTTTTAACGTCTTTTGGTATGACGCGGTCGGGGATCGAACCCCGGACCTTCCGCTCTCCGGGCGGACGCTCTACCACTAGACCACGGAGGCGGGGATCGAACCCCGGACCTTCCGCTCTCTGGGCGGACGCTCTACCACTAGACAACCGAGGCGGGGATCGAACCCCGGACCTTCCGCTCTCCGGGCGGACGCTCTACCACTAGACCACGGAGGCGGGGATCGAACCCCGGACCTTCCGCTCTCCAGGCGGACGCTCTACCACTAGACCATGGAGGCGGGGATCGAACCCCGGACCTTCCGCTCTCCGGGCGGACGCTCTACCACTAGACCACGGAGGCGGGGATCGAACCCCGGACCTTCCCCTCTCCGGGAGGACGCTCTACCACTAGACCATGGAGGCGAGGATCGAACCCCGGACCTTCCCCTCTCCGGGCGGACGCTCTACCACTAGACCATGGAGGCGAGGATCGAACCCCGGACCTTCCGCTCTCCGGGCGGACGCTCTACCACTAGACCACGGAGGCGGTCCAAGAGACGTAAGAGGCGAGCATCAAACAACAACGTCAGTGATTGTATGTACGCTTCACATCACAACCTGCGCGACAGTGAATGTAAGGTGAGTGAGTGAGTATGGTTTTACGCCGCTTTTAACAATATTCCACGGCGTAGGACACCAGAAATAGCCTTCATACATTGTACCCATGTAGGGAATCGAACCGTGTCTTCGGCGTGACGAGCTAACGCTTTAACCCCAGGTGAGGTGAAAACGCGTTGAAGTTTATTCACTTCTATTGCGACATGTATGCAAGAGTGTGTGTGTGTGCGTGTGTGCATGCGTACGTGCGCTCACGCGTGCATTAGTAATGACTTAGTAAATACTGGCTTCATACTGCTGAGATACCATACTGCAGTATCATACGGAAACCACACTCAGACAGAATACTGTCTCCGACCCGACCGTGTTTTAGCTTCTTAATGCCGAGCGACAGCCAGGGTAACAAGTTTCATAATTAGTCTCTTGGTATGAAGCAGCCAGGGGATCGAACCACTCTACGTGCAGAATATGGGCATGAAATTGTCGATAGGTGACGGTGATACGATGAGTAGGTAAAATACATCTTCCCGGGGCAAGTGAGTTAACTGACTATAAAAGTAGTCAGCCGAACTAGGCTGGTATTATGGAGTGAGATTTTTGCATGACTAACGAGTCTATGCATAGTCCAATCAAAATCGCGCAATGAAATCGAAATCCAGTTCGTAAATTGTCATGCAGATTTCGGTCGATTGCAGGATTTGCAAAGCATGTGCACCGCCAACTCGGTGTCAACAGATATTTTCCAAATCTGTTCATGTTTTAATCAAGTTGCTCGTGTGATTTGATGCACTTCGCGATGTAAGATCCATTTATCACATTATAGATCTTGATTATCGATCAGATGGTCCTGACTTGGCGCCGCCATTTTGTTTGTCTTTTTATAGATTTTTCAAAAGCTTTTGACAGTGTGAACCACAAAATGTTACTTAACAGATTCCTTCAACTGGGAGTTGAAGGTAAATTTCTCAAGTTTATAATTCAGATGTATTCAACACTATGTGCATGTGTGAGAACTGATTGTGGACTATCGCCATACTTCAAGTGTACCATGGGTACTCGTCAGGGGTGTATCTTAAGCCCTCAGATCTTCATCATATTTATTAATCTGTTAGTCTCAATGTTGGAGGAAGAAGGTGGTAAAGGTGTGTTTACATCTACTCATATCCCTGATGTATTTGCTCTGTTATTTGCTGATGATGTGTCAACCGTCTCTGATACTGCTTTACAGCTTCAAAAGAAAATAAAGACCCTGGAGAAATTCTGTGATGTTACTGGCATGAAAGTCAATGTGAATAAGACTAAAATATTAGTATTTCGGAATGGAGGTCCTCTTCGCAGTTATGAAAAGTGTTTTTGAATGGTCAACAGATAGAAGCTGTCAACATGTACCGATATTTAGGAATTATTTTCTCACCAAAGTTATCTTTGACCAAGGCCCAAGCATGTCTAGCAGCCCAGGCAGAGAAAGCACTTCTATCAATATATAATTATCAAAAACAATTTGGATACATTAATCACCATGATCTTTTTAATATTTTTGATGCTATGCTTTCACCAATGCTATGTTATGGATCAGAGATCTGGGGAACCAGCTACTGTAACATTATTGAGAGTGTCCATAACAGATTCTGCAAACCCTTTTTGAAAGTATATAAGTTCACCAACAACAACATGGTTCTAGGAGACTGTGGTAGGATCCCCCTACAGTATAACTACATGTCAAGAGCAGTCAAGTACTGGTGCAGACTAATTCAGATGGAACAACACAGGCTACCCATCCAAGCTTATTATATACTAAAATCTCTTGATGATAATGGTAAAATTACATGGGCATCACATATTAGAATGATTTTATTCCAGTTTGGAATTGGTTTTGTTTGGCTAAGCCAAGACATTGGTAATAGTCAACATTTCATGACAGATTTTAAACGAAGATTTTACGACTGCCTCACTCAATTTGACACTTTTCCCTGACATCATCAACGAAATGAAATTACTACTCACAGCTCAAGTCATTACTAAATGTGGAATCGTATATTACTTGTGATATGTCTTCTTACCAATGAAGACTTATAGCCATGTTCCGATGTAATAATTTCAGACTTGCTGTTGAACTGGGGCGTCACAACAACATCCCATATAATGAACGTGTCTGCACTTTCTTTTTTGCGAAGGGACATAACCATGTTGAAGATGAATTCCATGTTCTTATGATTTGTGACCAGTATTCTAGAGCAAGAAGAAACTCTTTTCCCAAGCGTCTCGTTACCCCTCCCTCTATTGAGAATTTTATAAAACTTATATCAGCTGAAAACGAACAAATCATAAAAAGCTTAGGTAAATTTCTCTCCCAAGTCATGAACATTCGAACGGAAACACAGTGTTGAACGGTAAATCATTATTAAATCTACTCAGCATGCAGATATATATACAGTAAATTTCCATTGTTTATGGGCCGGTGGCCTGAAGTACCGAATAAATTTGTCTGTCTGTCTGTCTGTCATTTTTTTTTAAGCAAATGTATGTGATACGAGGGGTGGAATCTGATTGGTCCATGGGAGAGGCATAGAAGTCATAACCAGTAATAGCCACTGGTGGCGCTACGATCGAGCCCAGGAATTCCAGCCTGGTTCGGCAAGGGTGGAAACTGGACTTTTAAAGTCAGTTAACTCTCTTGCTTCGGGAAGATGGTCAACTATAGCTACAAACACTTCAGGTAGAGTACTGAAACACAAATGAACATAATCCTGTCTCACCACCACGCGATGTTGGTAAAGGCGTCGGTGTCGCCGCATTGGTAGTTGGTCTTCGAGACTGCCGCGCCTTTCTTGTAGGAAGCAGTGGTCAGACTGACCAGTGCCAAGACACAAGCTGCCCACCAGGTTGTCATGGCTCTGTCAACACCGTAAGTGCAGCAGATAGCGCCGACTGGAATACACGACAGCTGTTGGAGACAGCTATCAGCTTGTCACGACTATGACACATATAGGTTTTTTTGTTTGTTGTTTAACGCCACACTCATCAATATTCCAGCTATATGGCAACGGTCTGTTAAATAATTGAATCTCGACCAGATAATCCAGTGATTGACATTATGAGCATCGGTCCACGCAATTGAGATCGATGACATGCATCAACTAAATCAGCGAGTCTGACCACATGGTCCCGTTTGTCGCGTAGGACTCAAGTCAATATCACGACATTTACCAGAAACATAACCGATCTAGAGATACTGTAAACACGTCAATGTGTGCGAGTGAGTGAGTGAATGTTATTTTACGCTATCAGGACAGAGTGAATAGAGTTCGGGGTAACTACCCTAACACCAGCGACATTTGGATTTGTTCAGCGCCAATATAATTCTACCTAATAAACTGGATTACTGTGAGTGAGTGAGTGAGTTGGGTTTAACGCCGCTTTTAACAGTATTCCAGTTATATCACGGCGTGTCAGCTTAATGTGGGAGGAAAGCCCGAAGTGATGCAGGTATCAGACGTTTACCACTTCGGTAAAACCCACGAGCACGGGTATGGTGCTGACAAACCTAGAAACATAATTGGGGCGAATCGGGATTCAAACAAACAATCATAGGTGTCTGGCGTGCCCAAGGGACGCAACTCTGCCCAGCGAATCGCGGCGCCTTAGACGACTGGGCCTTCCGTTCCCCCGGAACGAGTAGGAGCGACGTTAGTCAGTACCCGAAAGCACGAGATCCACCCCGTTCTGGTACAAGAACACAGCCAAAACAACCATATGTGTTACAGGTCACTGTGGTTTATTTGTCATTTTCGGAGTGGGGTGGCGGTAAGGGTGGATCGTCGAACCACTTACCCCAACACAGTCTTGTATAAAATGCGTCATACATATGGTTCGTGACATACAATCACATGTCGGCGTACACGGCGGACGGGACATACTCCCCGAGTCATCCGTGATTCGACACATCCGTTCCGGATAGATCACATGTACCAGTATTACGATAACTACTATATCAATGATTGTGAGAATCTTCTCAAGTTAGGTTCGCCCCGATTATGTTTCTAGGTTTGTCAGCACCATACCCGTGCTCGTGGGTTTAAGCGAAGTCTGAGACCTGCATCACTTCGGGCTTTCCTCCCACATTAAGCTGACACGCCGCAATATGACTGGAATACTGTTAAAATCGGCGCTAAACCCAACTCACTCACTCACTTCTCAAGTCAACATTTAAAAAAAAAATTGATTTCAAGAAGTAGGTTAGCTTCTGCTAGGAATGAGTATTTACAATTACAAAAATAATGGAGTAGCAATATCACAGAATGGAAGACAATCAGCAGCAACTGTTCATGAAGGAAGCTTCCATAAAGTCTGTTACAGTTTCTTGAACAAGAATAGTCAATCACGAATCGGAAACTGTAAATACAGTCATAAAATTCACAACAAGGTGAAAGTTCAAAGTTCAAGGTCACTGCTTACTGCACAAGTATATAAACTGGGGAGGAAATTATAGTGTCAAGGAATGCGCAACTCACAATATCCACGAATGTCCACGAATATCACAAACAGATGTGGGTGTCCTCTATGGAAATGTCAGTTCCTCACTGGGGGCTCCATTGTAGCAGGGGTGGTTCATTTTGAAAAATGACAAGCTGCGGTTGTTTGTTGAGGTGACATTTATTTCAATCACAATTGATCAATCAACCCCTGTGGGTGACACCGGGGTGTGTCTATAAACCCACATCATATAGGATTATGGCATTCCTGAACTATATGTAGTCCATGTCCTGTCTGTGCAGAGTTATAAGCAGAGTGAATAAAAAGTGTGCAAATGTTAGGGAGGAAAGCTGTAGTTAGATAATGTTAATCAGCTAGGAAGCTGAAAGCTATTGTATTGACAAGCTAGAGAGTTGGTGACAAAGGGACAGGAATAGACTAACCTGTCCACCCTTCAATAAAATTGGACCAACCGCTTGGACTCTTAACCCAAGCATATACATTTTGTACTACAACTAATGAAGATGTATACAACTACTTGAAATGAAAAGAGCTAAAACTATATTCCTAAAAACTATATATACAATATCCTGTTACAATATTTAGAGATCAAGAAATTAAGTCACTAGTGTTCGATACTATTGAGTGAGTTTGGTTTTACGCTGCTTTCAGCAATATTCCAGCAATATCACGGCGGGAGACACTAGAAATTAGCTTCACACATTGTACCCATGTCGGGAATCCAACCAGGGTCCTCGTCGTTGTTCGATACGAGGTTCGACTTTGTTTAATAGATTTCAGTGACAGACTGTATTATTGCTACCAAACAAACGACTTTTGACAGATTGACAGGAAATACGTCCAATTACGATGATGGAGTCTCATTTGGAGATGTGGAGTACGCCAGAATAACCAAACGTTGTCCCATCGTCTGTGCACACACTGTGGCTTTATTCGTAATCAACTCGTGTTATTCCGGGACAAGCCGAATAGCGACTCCTGCTCCTCTCGTGGCCATTTTTGCAACTAGGTTCCGTCTTAGCGCAAACGGGCATACCTAAAACAATTGTCAACTCGTTGCGTAATGGTTTACATATATTTCCCCATAAAATATATATATTTCAGATGCAATTTAAAGCACATCGGGACATGCGGAAATTATACTCTATGATTGAACATATTTTACTGTATCTTGGCTATGTTTTTAGATGCAAGCAGAGACCATATAATAGATCGTCTCTGATGCAAGACATATGTAAAATCAAAAAATATTTCTGAGGGATTCTTTGACGAAGAACTTGAAATCATACGCGCATTCTGATTGGTTTGTCGTATTTTCGCACCTGACATTCATCCATAGGGGGACGAGTCTTCTTGCAGGTTACGGAAAGGGGCGAGTGGTGACGAATGACTGTGGCTGTTCGCTCCAAGGCTGTCCATCTGGTGCGTGACTCGGCGCATAGCTGCTGGTAATCCAACCTGTCTTTACAAATAACACTACACAAATCAGGGTAACAGAGTCTTTTTTAATAAACTAACAGGTGGGCATTTAATGTGGGTTTGCACAAACTGATAAATTGAGTTTGTCTACTGAAACTGGCTTCTTTAGGAGACGTGGCTTGCGTGAGATCAAGCGATTTATAATACACATGTATACTACATTACAGTGAACATAACACTTGGTATTTGACTGCATTGGACATAAAACTTGATATTTGACTGCAGTGAAAATTACACTTGGACGAAACTATTGTCATACAAGAGTTACTTACCAGCAAATTGTCCCCCGTTTTTGTAAATGTCTCAAGCTCCTCACAGCCCTTTCGGGGAGCTCTCTGTACTATCGCTGCCACCAAAGCTCCTCACTGTGACAGGGGCCACAACCATGCATGTATGACTGTCGGGACGCCTAATACTCTTACCCCATTTTCTTTGTCAGTTTGAATTTCTATCAATGATCATGTGATTGATACAGTAAGAATGTTAGGGGATGTTCCGCTCTACTGCAATCTTGGGCTAATCTGATCCATGGAAATCTGGTGTGTGTGTGTGTGTGTGCGTGTGCGTGCGTGTGTATTTCAATGGTTGCTTATTTAATATACCATATTTGACCAAATGGACGCTTATTAGAGCAGGTGCTTATTATGTTGAATACAGTATTATATACATATGTCACCCAACTTGTATATATAAGTGTGTGTCTTCCAATGAACGCTCATTTTATGTCACCCTTTTGTTACTTATGTGTTCAAGATGTTGGCCTGGCCAGTAAAATACCTTCTACATCCATCTCCTTGAAATGAGATCTATTGTTACTACATTCTCGAAACTCAGATAGCTGCTGATGTGCTAAGCTAACTCTTAGTCACTGAAAATATATACTTTTTATAGAAACAAATAACTCTGTTTAAATTGAAAAGGAGCCCTAGTGAAATGGGAGATTCCAGAACCTGAGACAAATCTAGACTTGCTTCATTTAGGGCTTTTGCATTACAGAAAGGGCTGGGCGGAAGGGCAAATAACATGGTTCAGGGACTGTGAGACATTCTACTGGTGTGCAGCATCACAGTATAACAATTCATAGTTTTACTGCGGTAGTGTTTAATTGTCACAAAAATATGCAGCCAGGCTGGCCACATCCAATGGTTAGAATTAACAGTCTGCACTTGGTATGATAATATGTATATTTCCATAAATACAATGTTGAAACACCCATTTGTAATATGGCATGACTGAAAAAAAATATGTCTCCAAACAAAAATCCATCATGTTTGCTGGCCTGGAAGGCAGATGTGCTAAATTTTGACTATGGGTATTGTTGACTTTATTTCCAGCTTCTTTCAATGGCATATTAAGCAGTGCATGGAACTGCCCCCACATATCTTAAAGATCACACAAGGCAGTATATCCCTGCAGGAATGCTTTGGCAAAATCAGCAATTGCGGCTGCAGGTTCCAAAATCAAAGTTAAAGACCTTTGGTCCCAGATCGTAAAGCGTTGCTGTCGTTTCTTTGTGGAACTCACTCACTCTCACACTGAAACCAGGACAAACACTTCACTCCCCGAAGTCTGGGTGTAAAACACACATCTTCCAGTGCTATTCCCATTGACTCTGCAGATCTTGATGATAAGCACTTTCAGAGTAAACTGCATTTGATAGTCTTGCAATTTGTGTGCACTTTGAGCATGCCCGTGTCGTGTGGACAAACAGTGCAACATACATGGGTCAACGAAAATAAAACGAAATAAAGTTAGGGAAAAAGAAAAAAACACCAATAAAAAAATAAATCTATTAAACCACAGTGTTTTGAATATGTAATTATCAATAAAACATAGTATGGACGGTAAGATTTGGGAGAACTATCACATACAGATCTATCTATCTACAGAACACTTCATTCTAACATAACGTTTAATTCTATTATCTGCAACATTGTCTGACTAATGGCCACTATTTGGT